AAAGCCAATCTGCACCTACTGGAGCACTCATCCAGGAATGGTATTCTAGCACAGCTCTTCGGTGCAGCAGAGTCTATAGACCTTGTCTCGAATCTCCTCCTTATTAATTGGTTATATGCACATTTCAAGTAACATGTGTCGCTGTAGGTGGTAGCTTCCTTAGCTATTAGGCACTCATTCTGTGAAATTCATTGCCTGCTGACTTCGGGAACACCTCCTTCTCGGGTCTTCAAACACTTAAAGCAGGAGGTATTTATTCTGAACAGTAACTGCATTCTTATTTGGTTAAAAATTACTTAGAAACATTGTCTATAGAGTCTTTGTAAGCTTAATTTCTCAGCTTTCACAACTCTGAACGCAAACATCTACTTCATCACGATGTCATACAGCTACATCTCTATGCATTTCTGAGGGCTTTCAGATCTTATAGAAATACTGACCATTCGTCATACCTCTGCTTCTGCCCCTTCCTCTGAGGATCAGCCCAGGCAGAGAAAGCACTAGGAGAGAACAGGGCATCCTCTGACACCAGGGATTCTGCTCCTGGCTGATGATTTTTTTGGGCAGCAAGACTGGTGTCCTTTGAGGCACAAATGCAAGAAGTATCATCTGTTATTTTAAGTGACCCCTACAGAGCAGAGCTGATAGCCCGAAACTCAGCCTGGTAAGTCCTGGGACGCTTGTCTGAAGTAATTCATATTGCGTTATCAGAGTCTCTTCTTCTTTTTCCCCAGAAGTATTTTTTAAAGAAAAGTGCATTCAGTCAAGTCCTAGAACGAAACCTGACCTGGGACCATTAATAGCTCTGAGTCCCACCCGATCTGGCAGTTTCTTACAGGGCACCACGCTGGGACCCTCGCTCCTCCCCCACGTTTCCAAACTCTGCCAAGGATGAGAATTCCCACTGAGCACAGGGCTGTGCTCACACTAACACAGCTATGCACAGCGGTGCCCGAGACCACTAATAATAGCTCTCTAAATCCTGCCCTGATGAAGCAACTACATAGAGTTTATTTTTGTATTTTTAAAGAGAGTAACACATGCATATGCTGCAGAGTCAACAGCGACCGCCTGCTCACAGAGGATATAGATACATCAAGCTTTTGCTTCCAAGGATGCTACTGTGGGTGTCTCTTTGTGTGTCCTCTGGTAACACCAAGAGTTGTGGTTCCACAGGCAGGTGACCTTCTGTGGAGGGCACAGTAGGTTAATTAAGTTATTAACATTAATCATTATCCTTCTCTCGCTGTGCTATGTGGAGCTACGTGTAAGTTCTGCTCCCTTGTAAAAAGAGAGATGAGACTCACGTTAATCCAAGGGTGATTCATAAACTGAGAAACTGTCATCCTCTCTGTCGGGTCAGTCTTCAGAAGATGGCGAATCAGCTGTTTGGCTGAAAAACAGGACCAACACGGCACGTCACAGTCTACCCCTGTGTTCCCAAATGACCCTCAAAGACCTGCTGAGCAAAGAAAGATCCTTTTCCAGAACTCAACACACCTGCCTATCGCAGTTACCACGTTGAGAAGCCACGTACAGTGTGGCAGGTCACAATGTTTAAAGAGGCAGAGCACACCACCACCCAAAACAAGAGCTAAGAAGAAAGTACAAAGGAATGGGGATTCCAGCCATGCCATCGACATCACCAAACCAACAGTTTTTGGAGCAAAAACTTGAGAACAAGAGAAACATAGGAAGAGAAAGCTGCCAAGCTGCCTGTCTGAAAGATGGTGAGAAGCTGAATGAATGCATAAGCTGATGTTTTGAGAAATGACAGACGACAGAAACTAGCACAGACTGTGGGGGAAACGAAGAAGACAACAAACTTCTCTGACAACTGAAAGGCCACTAAAAGAACAACAAAGCCAGAGAAATGGACTGCACAAACAGGCTTTGTAGCAGCTTTCTGTAAATGTGGTATCTGCCAAAGCAGGAGAACTAGCAACTGAGATAAGAGATGATGAGTCCGGACAAGAGTTTCATTAATGCAGGTGGGCAGACAGGAAACACTATATCCAAGGGATGTTATTCAGAAAGACTTAAACATAACTTCCTTGGGGGTACCTTGAAAACCTTCTGAGTAAGAATTCGCTCTCAGAAACACTGAATGCAAGGTAACTACATGGCTGTAAGCAGCTGTCAGAAGTACAAGTGGAGACTTTAGGTTGTCGAAAGAGGCTGCAAAGGAGGTTTAAAGAGATTACCTGGAGTCCAAAATGCACAAGGAAACAAATGGAAGGGACCACAAACAGAGCCAAATAAGATGATTATAGGAAGCTGGTGGGGAATTTAGAGGAAGCCTCCATAGCTGGTGCAATGAAGGAATGATTAGATAAAGCAAGCAATAACAGAAAAGTATAAAGGAGGGCAAGCAGCAGCATTGTGCTGAAGGTGCATGACCAGCCTAGACGAGAGCACATAACCTTAGCTGATCTTAACAGGTACAAAGGTAGAGGGCATCTATCTTCATTCAGGCAAGCACACAGAAACCTTACAGATTTTCCAAGCATATGTTCTCTCATCAAGCTCCTCTAGCAGTTTAATAACTGCTGCAATATGAACAAGACCCAAGGCACACAAAATATTAAGCCAGCAACCCATAGGTAAAACATCTTCCTTATCAATGTTCAGTAGTCCACGCTGCACATGCAGACATGAGATGCAATGAGGGGCTAAAGTGCCACAGATCACAGTATTATCCAATGGTAATTTGTTATTGCTAAACAGAAGACAATGACAGGATGCTAGCAACAGCAATGTAAAGGGCTTGTTAGGAAAAAAGATGTGCCCAGAGGTTGCTGCCCCTATGATGGGGCAGGTGAGACTTTCAGCTTACGAGACTGCCAGAATACGAAGGAATCAAAACCATCCACTTTCAGGACACTGGTTTGAGCCCATCCAGGTCACAGCTGAACAGCAGCAGCATTTGGTCAATGACTTATACAAAATAAATTGTTGACCTTGATTGAAGTGGTGGCTGGCAAGTTCCCACATCCCCAAAAGCCAGCGTGAAAACTTGCCATCCTTGCTGGCTGTATCGCAGAGGAGGGCAAAGACTGAATGAGTTCTTGAGGACAGTTTGCCTTTCTTCCAACTCAGCTCGCATTGCAGCTGTCCTGGCAGTCTCCTTTCTCAGGATTAAAGACTTTTGTTTCCAGAGGTTTTTCCCGCACTGGCTGCAATTTGAAAGAAAGTTTTCAGTAGCCATTTACTTTCTGTAGTACTTAGATTGCTGGCTACTGCCTGAGTTCCCAGTCATTCTCTGTAGCACCTTACCAAAAACATTAATTTAAATTCTAAAAAAAAAGAGAAACAAAAGCTTGGACAGGTTTTTAGAAAGTCTCTTGAAAGCACCGCACCACTGCACACCATGCACATTCTCATCAGCAGCAGTGAGCGTTGTTACCTTCCTCTGATACTTCAGCCCACTCTGGATTGGGAAACCCATACTGCCCCATCCGAATTCTTCTCTTCATCCCTGGAGAAATGGCTTGACCAGTGTTTGAGTAGAATGGAGGGAACCCACACAGGCTGTAGGAGTGGACAAAAGAACTCTTACAACTAGGAAAGTCCTTTCACCTCTTAAAAGTCCCATACAAACTTACATTCTTCTGCAAGTTACATGGTCCTAGTGACTAATTACTTCTAAGTGCAGATTTAATAAGATGTGTCCTGTGAGCCTCTCCCCAAATACTTACAGAATATACGTGATGACACCCAATGACCACATGTCACACGATTTGTCGTACTTCTCAGGGCCAAGGACTTCTGGGGCTGAAGAAGATTAAAGACAGAAGTTACCAGAGTACCAGATATTTCCTTTCATTCCCATCACCTTATAAAGCAGCACACTTCAACAAGTATCGGATGCATTAAAAAAGTGCAACTCACTGCAGGAACTGGGTAGTATCTTCTATTGACAAATTCCTAAACACATCTAGTGTGGCTTTAAAAAGGAGGAATGGAGCTGGCAAAATGCCCTGCTCTTCACCGTAGTGTGTCTCTGCTCCAGAGAGTACTAAGATTACAGAAAAGCAGAAGGAGCTATAGCTGAATTGCTCATTGCTTGAAAGAGTCCAGCAGGGCCACAAAGAAGATGCAGGGAGTGGAGCATCTCCTGCTGAGGAGCGGCTGAGGGAGCTGGGGCTCTTGAGCTTGGAGCAGAGGAGACTGAGGGGTGCCCTCATTCCTGGGGATCCATTGGGAAAGGGCAGTGTCAGGAGGAAGGAGCCAGGCTCTGCTCTGGGATGGCCAATGCCAGGACAAGGGGCAAAGGGCCCAAGCCTGGAGCACAGGAGGTTCAAGCTGAAGATGAGGCCAAAGTTTGTGAGTGTGAGGGTTATGGAGCATGGCCCAGGCTGCCCAGAGAGGTTGTGGAGTCTCCTTGTGTGGAGACACCCAAAGCCCTGGCCGTGTTCCTGTGTGACTGCTCTGGTGATCCTGCTCTGGCAGGGGTTGGGCTGGGGGAGCTTTCCAGGGCCCTTCCAGCTCCTGACATCCTGTGATGCTGTGAATGTGCACAGGGAGACACGGCACTGAAAGAGGCAGGAGCGTATGTTCCAGAAACCAGAAGAGAAAGGACCTACTTGAGCTGTGATAAAATTTGGTTGGTACCTGGGTAAAGCGTGTTCAGCGCCAGCAACCACAGAGCAATGTATTTTTCTTTGGCCTCCAGAGCATTACATTTTTTCACTAAGTAACAGAATTCTAGAGATATACATTTAGAGGAGATTTTTTTTTCTCCTGGGGCAGGTGAACTGGCAGGGAGCTTGATCTTGTAAGGAAAATTATTCTCTAAACATATGAGCAATCAAGCTGGTTTATAAAAAGGTGTTGAGAAGGAAAATGTCAGCCTGTTTATATACAAATATTATGCGTATATGTTCTTATGCCTTTAATTCCTTAACATTTTATCACTAATTTCAGCTTACAAAAATACAGAAGAAAGCATCAGGAAAAAAACTGCTACTGTTATTTTCTGCTAACAATGAATAACAGTATCTTTCAAAACAAAAACCTATAAAAACCTACATCGTAGAAGAGAAGTAATTCTTCCAAAAAATTAAGCACTTTTTCCTCCAAAGAAATCCCCAGTGCAGACTACCTCAGTCACACCATACGGTGAATGATCGTTACCTCAAAACTGAAACACAAAAGGAATGCACCTTGGATAACTTACCCACATAATACGGAGTGTAACAGGGGGTCTGCAGTGCATTTTGTACAGTGGTTTCTTTGGCAAAGCCGAAGTCTGTGAGTTTGAGCACAGTATCCTTCTCTTTAGACGTGTAAAGCAAGTTTTCAGGCTGAAGGACCACCAAGAGAAAGGTTAAACCAGACAACCAAGAGAAGTCTCCAATGAGCTGCAAGGACAAACCATTCCCCCCTGCCTGGATCACCACCAGCATCTGGGGCTTCTCACTTCTCCTGCATCCCCACCACATCATGCAGAAAGCTCCCTCCCAGCAGATAACTAAGGACCAACAGCCTTCTCAACATGGTGTTTAGGAGAGCAAATCACGAGACTCTCGTCAGCTCCAGTGGGTGTCAAGTACGGCTTCTTGAACCTCTCTCCAGTTCACGGCATTACTGGGGTGGGTCTGGTTGATCAACACCAGCCCACCTGACAGCGCTCGATCTGACTCGATCTGTGCTGCGCCCAAGTAGCTGAGGTGGAAGACAGAGAAGTCATCAGCCAAACTCTCTATGAGCAGCTGATACAACTTCATCAGAATTAACTGACAGACACAGCCCCCTTCCTCCTCCCACCCTCCTGTCTGCTGAAACCTGAGTTAATTCCACTCTTGCTTCACACACCACAAAGGCTCTCCAAAATCAGAAGTGGCACAGAGGGAACTACAAGCTCCTGTGCACATGAACAGGGACAATGGGGAACATCCAGAATCTGCAACTGTTTGAACTTGTTTGCCAGTTTCTCAGTTGTAAGGAAGCTATACCCTTATTTTTATTTTAAGCAAGAATGATTCTGAAAACAATAACTGGCAAAGACTGACACAGAGGTACAGCATCTCGTAGAAGTTCACTTCAGGCCATGTCATTTTCTTGATAATTAACTGGACTGCACGTTGGCAGTACCACTTTAATTACCCATCTGACTATCACTGCTGCTGCTGCATTCCATACACAACTGGAAGGCATTAGTGCACACGGATGTTCTGACCTCTGACGGGCTGCAGACTAGTTGTGGACAAATCCCTTCTCACACTGGCAGAGGAACAGGAACGCTTGGACCATCTGACTGTACTCCTAGGTCTGTTTAAACCACCACTCCCCACTTATTTTCCTGCCTTGTGCTCTGTTCTCCCTGCCCATACACCTTCAGGCCTCACCTTGACGTCTCTGTGGGCAATGTTCATTGAATGCAGATACTGGATAGCTGTTCCGATGTCTCTCATTATTTCAGAGGCCTCTATAAATACAATTTCAGAGAAAGGTCACATTAACATTCCCACTGTAACCCAGGGACATGCTTGGGAATGCTTATGACTTACAAACAGCTTGCAGGGACACAGGGCTAGCTTCAAGACTAGAAAACCTAAAATTAGCCCTAACAGCTGTGTTTCGGTTTTGGAGACAACCATACCCGCAATTCCCCGGCTGCTCAGCCCTCCTCCTGAGCAGGCACTGCAACCGCACGGCTGAGGCTTCTGCTTTTTACCAGCGTGTAAATCCATGCTTTGATTTGTTCACCAAAAAAGCAGCGAGAGCAGAGCAGGTACGCAAACAACATGCGAGACTGTGGAGAAAGCGACCCCAGCCAAGACATAGCCCTCATTGTCCAGGACTGAACCTTGGCTGTCCAAGACAGAAGTGTAACTGTCAGCTTCTAGTTCAAGGGTAACTGGAGGAGCTAACAGATTTTCTAAAAGTAGAGCAAGGTAACAACGCAGTAATTTTAGGATAGGTCACATCTTCACTCCTCAGTGTCTCTAGAAGTTTTTCCTCAGGAGAAACAAAATCAACAGTTCTATTCTGCAAAGCTCAAACTGCCACCTTTGAAATAATCCGCTTATCAAATTTAATGTCAAGCCAGTGGGAAATTGTAGTGGTGGGTGAGCTGCCTCTCAACAGCAGTACTCTTAGAGGCTGGCAGAGTTCAGCTACACAGGGAGAGGTTTGGGAGCAGGGAGGGTGACACTCCCATCGCTCCCAGTGAGCCCTGTATCACATCTCCATCGGTAGAGAAACTGAACCAGCCACTTCAACCTGATTCTGTTTCCTGCATCGGTAGAAACCCCAGCAGCAGTGGTGAGAGAGAAAATACAAATTCTTGTTCTGTAAGCTGGAATGCTTTTCTGTGTGGCTCGTGATTGAAATGATGTGGTCTCGGGCAAGGACAATCAGAAGCCAGAAACACTCATCTGCTCTGAAGAAAACCTCACACAACCTCCTCCTGCTTCCTGGCCCTGGCTCCTAACGGGAAGCGGTGGCTGTTACAGAAACAGCCAGGGAACCTGGGGGACCCGGTGCAACAGGGCTCAGTTATCTCTGGAAAGAAGGTAGGTGGCTTTTTTGTTTAACACTCCCACAATGATTTTGTTTAACACTCAGATGATTTCTAAGTATTTAGAATGTTATACAATGGTATTTAATGTAGGAAAATCGTGGTTTTAGCAGAGTGGAGTCGCTAATGACCTTGGAACCAGTTTTTCCCCTGGAGTCTTGCATTTTGGAGAGGAACAAATAGAGTTCTTGAAAATTCTTGTTTTCCC